TCTTGGGACTACCGGTCTATAGAATCTATTGGATCCCTCTTTGGGTTGAAGCAGCCTGCGTTGTCCGGAGGTTCTGGAGTCCGGTAGTCCCAAGAGTGCCCTGGCTCTACAAAATGACAGTCCGTTGTTGAGAGTGCCCTGGCTCTACAAAATTAATATACCCTATGCATCCATTACAAATTATTGGTGCCCAACGCAGTCTAAAACCACTATGAAATCGTGGGGTCCATCGTCACTTTTCCAAACAAGTTGATGTTATCTTAACCTCCTGGTTTGTATGAAATGCTGGGACTCATCGTCATTTCTTGGCTGGTAGGGCTCCAGCGTCTCGAGTACAAAATGCTTGGCTACATCCCCAGGATCTTAGCTATCTTTCCAACTTAAAATGTCCTCGTAACGCCAAATTCGTGGTATAAAACAAAAATTCAGACATCCATTACGAGTCAAGAGCCCAGCAATCTATACAAAAACACTTTGTTTTCCCATCATTTTGTAGAGACCACCCTGTGTCCCGAAAATTTGTGGCTACAAAATGTGGGCCCCATCGTCACCTATGAAATCTCAACCGGGATCTTGATTTATATATCCTTGACTCTTATGTTTCTTCATGAAGTCAAGATCATGTGTCATCACAGGAAACCGGCGGCAAATGACATCAAGTCAAGAGGCCGCCGTCGTCATCCCAGCCAGTCGTCATCCCAACCAGTATTCGCAAAATCGAGGCCAGTACAATCAGCTGTGAAGCCTGGGTGCCAAGTTGCAACGGTTAACACGACACAGATCTCGTGATAAGGATCTAGTTTTAATACACGGATCTAGCGTGCTTATTGTTTGAAAGGTTGTTCAACATCCATGTTTGATGGTTTGGGCCTTCGCAGACGGTTTCGGCTCCGTTCCAATCTGATTGGTTCACCGAACACGTTGAGATTGAAAGCCTTGGAACCATCAGTGGACCATCAGGTGAACAGTTTTGTCAACCCGTTTCAGTTCCTGATTCAATTATTGACAAGCATGGACTCCTTGATTGTCATTGTGTGTGTGTTTTTTGGCACAAGTACATTCGTGATGATATTGACGAAGAAAAACATTATGGCAAAGTGCAAATCTGGTTGTGGCACGTTTCTTCCTATTATTGTTGGAACTTTTTTGTCAATGCCTTCAGCGAACAATGATGTCGCTGAGCTTGCACGGGCTGTGGCTATCATAGCAGAGGAGCTGTCGTATAAACTCAATACAAGAGAGCGTAACTCACAGGGCGAGCCCTGCACACTGAGTTTGTCCTAGTTGCCGTGAAACAATACCAGGTTCGAGTTGGCTGCATCAAATATAATTGTGAGACGTACCAGTAGACATAGATCAATCGAAGAAGTCAACCAATCAAGTCAATGAAATCTACACACTCACTACACAATGAAGTCAACATGAGTTGCAATATATTGCAATCGGTTAGTTCATCAAACTACGTTTTTGTCCTTTCCTGTCCTGCCATGCGTGGTTCTCGAAGCACCTCAATGATGGTAAAGCGAGGGACAGTCCAGAGTCCTGTGTGTTTCACTGGTGTGGGTTCGTTTCATTGGTGTGGAAGGTTTGAACGATTGGGTTGCCCTGAATTGTTGGTCATTTTGCCTTTATTCCAGGGCGGAAGGTTTCCCCAACATTATGTCCTTGTGATTCCTTGTGTGTGTGTGATTGCAGCAACTCACCTTGGATTCAGAGGTAGTCTTTTGACAACCGCACTCAACGAAGCTACCACAATCATGGCATACCGAGTCTGATCAACTCGGCGTACCCGCACCGGAAGTTGTGAATGTTTTAGCCATTCTCCAATTGTAGAGGCCTTCAGGCTGAAGGATGATTCAAGCCGGCAGTCATTCATTTTGTTCGTTCGATTTTTGGAAGAATGGGGACTTTGGGACTTTGAGACCTGGGTTTTGAAATGATGGTTGGACCCTCCTGGATAGTATATATACAATTACCTGGTTTTACTCGGATGTTTTTTAAACTCAGGCATCTTCTAGGCATTCGCAGCCGTCGTACGTACTCAATCCCAAGTGCGTGCAGTAGTTCAACTAATGTTGAGCTCATTTGATCGGTGATGTACATGCCTGAAAGATCTTCTATCAGAGGGGGTCGTGAGAGGGTGCAAGACTAGACGAGACTTTGGTTTGAGTCCTCTTCACCTGAGAGCAATAACGAAAGAGAAAACGGAGAGGAAAACTGAGTGGAAAGGGAAGAGAAGGGAAGATGAGAGAAGCAGTGGACAAGAGGGAGGAGCTCAAGTGGAAATGGGAGAGGAGTCCGAGAGGAGAGGATGAGGAAGAGAGAAGTTGTGAAAAAGGATGGGTCAGCGAGGAGAGAACTGGGAATGTAAAGGACAGAGGCTGACAGAGGCGTTCAGAATCAATTTTTCCTAAACCAGTCTTGTTGGTAACATATTGTCATGGACAAGCATGGACCTATTCGCAACATCAGGCTAATTACATCAGCTACAGCTACATTTAGGCCAGGATAGGAAGGCCGATGTGACTTCACAGAGTGACTGACCTGTCTTTTCTCATAGATTGCTTACCCACTCAGCATACTGCATAGAGCCTTCAAACAAAACATGTTCAATGTTCGACTGCCTGTGCCAACCGTTTAAATGTGGGTGGAGAAGTCTCGGTGGAACCCGAGCCAATGAGACTTTTCAGCAAGTAGTATTTGGTGCTGCAATTTCCTTCCCAAATTTTGGGACATATCCCTCAGGAGGATCCGGAAGCTGCTAGAGGCTTGCTGGGAATCTCTGCATTTCAGGCGCATCAATGGTTGGAATATTGATGCAACTATGATAGAGTCTGATTTACTTTACCCAAAACAGTTACACTTCAAAACGTAAACTGTTGGGGGCACTTGACCACACCGTGGTTGGGACTGTGACTCTCTCTTCGGTCTTGTGATGGTCCAACAGCGACTTAGCCAAGCCTTTCTGTCGTGTCTTCACAGAGTCTGATCCCATGCTGGAGATGCCTCCAAGAGGTCCCACAAATCCAGAGAACCAAGGGCCTCAAGGGCGAATGGACAGCAAGAAATACATGTTGATCAATCTTCACCCAAAGCTGTTTGTTGTGTCCGGTAGTAAGGGTCCAAGGTAGGAGGATTTGAGAGAAATCTAGAAAGTTGAGTTCTACTCCTTTTTGGTGGTGTAGATGATTCAAACAGCGTTTCAGACACGCTCCTGTAGGCGCCGCCACCGGCGAGTGTCGCCACATTGGTAGACCACTCAGCCTTTGGACGCTTGGCCCAGAGATGTGATGCCTTCGAGGACTTCGAAGTTGAGGCAACATGCAACGTTGCCGTGGTCGGCAGCAGCGGGTGTGGGAAGAGCTGCCTCTTGAGATGCTTTCTGGGAGAATCCATTGATTCCGAGCGGCTCGGAAAAGGCATAATTGTTGGAGAGAGATTGAGATACATGAAATCATGAGACACAATAAAGGATTGCAAAACACACTCCTGGGCCGGGATATTGTTTTTCGTAGTTTCGTTCAATTTGGGTATATGTACGCTTACCTTTTGCTCGCCCATGAAATGTGCCTTGGCAGTTGCTTGAGGTATCACCAAACATTGGTGACAAACTTCAAAGAGAAGAAACTGCTGGTTGAAACGGGCGAAGAAGTGACATTTCATATTTGGGATACTCCTGGTTGCTTGGCCTGACTTGAGGGATATGTTTGGTTTTTTGTGATCGCCTGTGCCACCTGACCGGAACAGATTGACAGATGCTGGAGCAGGTGGGGTGTGAACCCTTCGACACATGACCCCCAGTTTGTTTTCATCCTGGTTTCCAAAGAATGAGATCAAGCCGTCTCATCCAGCTTCACAAACAGAAAAAACAACACATTAAGCCGGAACATCCAAGGTTGGACTTGATGAAACTGTGAAACAATATGTCGACATGCACACGAACACAGGTTTGGACGACCCACATACGCTGGTCGAGAGACACTGCTCTCAAGCGAAAGCCTGCATTCTCGCCTATGCATCCGACGAAAGGAGACTGCTTTGGGTGGATGTTTTCCGTAAGTAACGTTGTCCCAGTGAACATGTAGGATCACAGTGTGATGCAGGAGCTCCTTGGAAGTCGCAGAGCGTTGGGCCATGATCTTGCGGGAGGTTTGCAAAGAGCAGACCATTTTGGCCTCTCGGCCGAACCAAGTCCACCGCTCCCTCTTCGCTTGCGAGACCACGACAGCTGCAGCTGGCTGTGTTTGGCTTTTTGCAGGTGATGGCGCGCTGCAAAGACGATTTGGGTGATGAAGTGAGTCGAAAGGAAGGTCAAGAATTGGCAGACAGGCCAGGACTACACTTGCCAAGTACTTCATGTTTGGTGATTGAATGTAGAATGCCTCGATGGTTTGCCTGTCCAACCAACGGAAACTCAAAACCTTTGCACAAGGGAGAATATGTAAAACAGATTATACCCTGGAGATTCATTCTCCAGGAAATTTTCCGTGGACTTCGTAGTTGGCCTGTTTATCTGGCAAAACGCTGGCTTTCTACCGCAAACTCCTAAGAAGCCCCAAACTCCTAAAACCACAATCCTAAGACTTAGCTGGTGCTTGGGAAGTCAACATGTATCACACAAACTACCAACTTTACCCACCAAACTCCCGCAAAAAAAACATCAAAATCCTGCGACAACCTCAGCAACACAGACATAAACACCTGCAAATCCAGAAAAGTCGTAGACCGTGTTGGAAACTCACCAAGAACAAAGAGGGGATGGTTCAGGATGATTTGGTGATCATTGCTACTGCTGTACCTTGTGTTCACATCACAACAACCTAATTATGCACACTCTTTTGGCAAACCAATAAACAGTTCGGACACCGCTGAGTCAAATGACACAAATGACTTGTTCGAATCTGTTTTGGACATTGTCTCAGGCTTCGCATTCGGCACTTCATCCTCAGCGTAAGCAGTTGACCCAGTTCTGCAGTTTTCCGCCAGAGTTCATATGTGCTAGAGGTTGAACAAGCGCTTTTCATTTGAATAGGCTTGTTTTTGAAAGTATGAGAGACGTTTGTCACTTAATTACGTGGCAGAGTTAATGCTGGGGGCACCTGTGTTGGCTGTTGCATCAAATGAAGGATCAAGAATGAGGCACAGTCAAGACAATCAGCACCACCAAGGGGCTGTTGCCGGAAATAGAACTGCAAGGTCTTGCGCCATTCTTGTAGTACATTGTCATATCATGTATCCTGCCATTGATTTGGGTCCTTTTTCAATAGTTCTATTCTTTGAGTATGCTTTGTAGAAGGTTGTTTTTGGTCAACTTTTCTTTGACATTTCAGGGCTTGGTTGTGAATTGCACCGAACGATGACTATTCGTTTTTCGTTCCATTCCCCCGAACCGAACCATCCACCTCCTAATCGCTGACTATTTGGACCCACAGGCGATCGTCAATCAACGTTGGACATGTTCGTCCACATTGCCAAGGACCTGCATGTCCAAAAGTGGGGGAACCCCCTCTTGCTGCAGAATGGATCCGTCAATTTAGTGAGAAACCGCAGCCCATGCACAGAATGTGAAGCAACCAATTGAAGCCACCAGGTTTGGATCAACATGTGTTTGTGCAATTGCGTGGAGCCGAACTGTGTAATAGTGCAAAGGCGATGCAGTTGATGCGGAACTTTCCTCGGAAGTGTCTGTGTGGAAGAGTAGGGCCTTGCCTGGACTCCGAGATTACGACCTGAAGACGGTAGGGACTCTGGACCGTATCCAAAAAACAGGTAAAGTGTGATTCTTTTGGGGTTTTAGTTGGAGGGGGTTGCACTGAAGGTTGTATTATGTTTGGTTTATATAAGTTTAAGTTCGGGCTTTTCTTCCTGGTGCCTTTGGTGTCTTTTGCTTTTTGGCTTTCGTGGCTGGCTTTTGGTTCGTGTGGAAAACCAGATGAGCATTCGTTTGGATTGTTATTGCAGGGCCACGTGGCGCCCTCCCACCAACTAAATCCAGTTTTTCAAACATGATCGAACTTGAAGTGCAGCGCCATTTTGATGAGTGCTTGCACGTACTCCCAATTGTTGAGGTCGCAGCCACTGTGTGAGTTGTGCATGCTGTGATGTGAGAGTTTGGTCTCAAGCTCTGTAGCCATGGCAAATGATCCCTCCCCTCGGCCTCGGTGGAAAGCGCGTTTGCGCGAGTCCGTGCCATTGGGGGAAGGAAAGCATGCTGGTGTAAACGCGGCGTGTCGCTGTGGAGCGGGATGATTGGTGGTGCCCACGAAGCTTGGTGTTGCATGGTTGGTCAATGGTTGATCATGGTTGTAAATAGAGAGTTTGTGGCAGGTTACCCAAGTGACTTTCAATGGCTGCGACTTGATGGTAGTGAACCCGGTATCCAATGCTAGCCATGTCAGGAGATCCTTGGACAGATTCATGAGACCGAGGAAAGACTTCGTGAAGGAGAATCGATTCACGGACTGCAGTGACTTGTCACGCCGTTGACTACGTTGAAATTTGGTAGCCTCAGGGCCTCAGGGGTGTGCACGGGTATGCTTAGGCAATTTCGAGCGAGCGTGGGCGCGATCATACTCGCTTTCTTTTCGACGCAAGTTCATTCCTCTTGGTGTTTTTTTTGATCTCCGGCTGTGCTTACTGAAGCCTATCTTCGAGAATGTTGTTGGAACGGAACAAAGCAGTAACACTGGTGGTTCCCTCCGCACACAACTTCATATTGCAACCACATGAGTGGAGCGTGTTGTGTACAACGTCAGACGCAACATGTTCAACATTTATGTCCGACAACAATGTCGTGGATGTTTCATTCCTTCAATGTGCATACATGACATAACAACACACAAAGTATGTAGTTACAATTGTTAGATCGTATGAATGTGTATGAACTAGTATAATTTCGACACCACTCGGCTTCATAGAAAGGTAGATCCCAGGCGGATACCTGTAACACATACAACAACACACATCAACACATTCTAAATACAGGCGATAGTGACGATCGGTCTTACGATGTGCTGAACGCACGTCCACTGCTGTCCAAGGTGGGCCGATGAAATCCCAAGCTGCACTGCATGGTCTGAGCGTGTGGAAAAGAGTTGGTTTGGATGGAGTAGTAGAGCTGGAACTCCCTGCTTTCCTGACGATGCAGGTGTTTTCCGTCGACAGCAGGGGTGGGGTATGGTGGGGCAGTTCAATGAAAAAAGGTTCCTCTTGTCGAGGCAATACCTCCTCCGCCCGCGCCAAAGAGCCCGATTCTCAAAGCGAGCTGAAGGGTGTGAGAGGGGTACGTGTTGTGTGTTGATTTTTGAGAAGATGAGAAGTGCAATGCTGCAAGATTCAGAGTTTCTTGCAAAAAGATGACCAGCGAAGAGTTGTTAGTCATCTCAAGGTGTAAGCCAAAGAGCGCCAGTGGATCAGAAAGGTCATTGCAACGGTTGCCCGTCGATTGGGTTCAATTTTCAACCAAGAAGTGAAGCAATAATTGGACCCCCAAACACCTACGACGCTGGTCATTGCTGAGTTTGAGTCTTTGTTTGTTGTAACATGTTGTAACACTGAAGAAACTGGTTGACGGCTAGTGCAATTGGAAAACTGCAAGCGGTCAAGTTATGATAGATGAAGACCTGTGAAGATGCACCAAGTCGGTCCAAATTGGGCTCGACACCAATGGATTCCGACCTTGGCACCATGATGCATGCATTCAGCTGCTGTGCAGGGGAGAATGCTGATTCACGAGTGGGTCCACAAGGCAGGGGCAGTTCCTCACAGTAGTTTTTACAAAGATACTGACTTGATTTGACTTGTACCCAGTTACAAGCCACTTAAAGATTTAGTTGCTTTTGTCTTCTTGGAATCGGACGCTGCAGGAAAGAATGGTCCGCCTCTGAGATTTCGCAGCAGCGAACGAGCCCAAAAGATCAGCATTCAGTATCTTCTTCCAAGGCTTAGAACCAAAGATCGCAACAGATCAACTACAGTAATAAAAGGGAATTACTTTTCACCTGAGCCCATGAATAACTGGAAAAGTTGAAACTTGTCCTTTTCCATTGTGCTTAGGCCCTTCTGCATCTGCCTTGCCGCAATTGTCGCGCCCACCAAAAGCAGGCGGGGCTCCAGCCGTTGCGGCACCACCACCGATGTTTGCCCGGAAGGTGCAGGTGGACTTCCGAAGGTGCCGAGAGTGGTCGCGGAGCCAGGCTGCTTGATGGCGCGTTCTGGTACTCCACAGAGAGGATTAGATAGAGGATTTAAGGGCTCACGTCTAAGAGCAGGCTGCACAGGCAGGCAGGTGCAGGCGTCAGGCGCAGCCCTTGTACGGCACAGGCGACGTGAGCAGGGCAGGTGCAGGCGTTTTCTGTCTCTTTCTTTGGAAGGGGAAGAAAAATTAGCAAGCAGAAGCGCAAAGTGCTAATAATGCAAGGCCGCTCGGACAGCATATCCCGCACCACGGGCTTTGAAAACGACTTGACAGCAATCAACATATCCATCTTGGAGCTATGTTGAGGCTATGTTGACCCAGTTCTAAAGAAATTCTTCCGTCTCACGCTCTCCCTAGTGGCCCATGGCCCATAGAGCGTCCCCGCGGCTGCTAAAAAAAGGTCATCAACATGAGTACTGTCTTCAGAAAAATGTCAATGCCGCTGTAGCCGTGCACATTTTCAAAGATCTGCCTTGAACTTCCACGTTTTGGAACATAGCAAAGCTACTTTTTCGGACGGGAAGTGCAGGCACTCTTTTCATATTATCGCTCAGCGAGTCTTCTTTGCAATTTTGCAAGCTCATTCAACAACTCTGTTGGCGCACATGGTCCGAGGAATCTTGTCACCAACTTACGGAGCTCTAGATGTTCTTTGACTCCATGACTGCCAATTCTTCTAGCTACTAAGAGCGATGCCCTTGTTACTAGTAGTTTCTTCTTACTAGTAGTAGAGCCAGGAGCTACTAGTTTTGTCCTTGCTACTAAGAGCGACGCCCTTGCATGATGCCGGAATTAACTTTTTGAGGCTCATGCCATCCACGATCAATCTGCGTTCCAGCTGCAGTTGAAATGGGCATTTTTTTACTTGTTACTAGCGTCCTTGCTACTAGTAGCAATGCCCTTGTTGCTAGTAGCGACGCCCTTGTTACTAGTAGTTTCTTGCACAGTAAAAAAATATTTGGTTCTACTTTCGGAATAACTTGTCATACTTCATTGCACGCGCCAATAATATGAAAACCAGGAGAAAACCACATGGCAGGGGTCCCACTACTTGCATGATCAGAAGAGACGGCAAGTTGCAGGGTAGTTAGTTAGTTCAAGTGCTTTCGGGTGCAATCCAAGAAACACGCTATAAGGATCTATATATAAGGAAATTATTTCTTTTGCCAGGTGAAGTCTATGTTGCTGTGCATCCACTTTCTTCAGTTGCGACCAACTTAAGATACCTTCCACTGCAAGTGTTTTCCTCGTTGATATGAACGCCAGAACGTAGATGCCATATTCTGCATGTTTCTGCAGGCGCTTGCACACTTTGTTTCAGGTTCCATTGAATGACTGCGCATGCATGTATATTGATCATTGATAAGTTTCCTTGACTGATTTGAGTTGTACCTCTTGATGCTTGGTACACCTTGCGTTTCTCCCGGCGTCCAGGTGCTGCTGTTCAGACAAACAAAGCAGCAGATGAGTCTCCTTGCGATGCAGGTTTGCTTTACACATTTTTCCAATGACTCGCAAGTGTTGCTTCGGTCCAATTCGGAGCTTTCTCATTCGGTCGGGTTCCTTCAATCGAACCTCGCTGATCGTCGCAGCGTTCTCGCTTGATGCTTTGCAGGTGGCTGCTCGGAAGCTGTGCAAGATCCAGGAGGCATCACAGAGCCAACAATGAGTTCCATGAAGCAACGACCAAGTCGCATGCTTCCTTTATACAAACACTGACTAGCATGGAAGTGGCAAATCGTTCCTTGGAAGCCACTTTCCTCAACAACCAGGGGACTTTCCACTTCCAGTGAGTGAGTATTTCTGTCGATCTTCCACATCCAGTGTCAGTGTCCAATCACCAGACCTTCCTGAAGAGGCTTGCAAGATGGGAGCTCGAAAGGCTGCCTGCCTCCCATCGGCCATGTGGAACATGATTTGTGGACGGTTGTTCCAACATGTGGACGACACGTATGGAGGGGTGTGGGAGGTCAAGAGATGGCGTGGCCAAATGAAGAGCAAAGATTACAATTGAAATGGTTGGGTGGAGCCATTGTTCTATGTTGGTCTTAAATGGCGTCGAACGGAACTGCAATATTCATGTACTCAGTTCTCATCATTGTCACTAGATTTTCCTAAACCTGAGCTTGCGTTGATAGTCGTTCTAGCATTGCACTCCCTGGTAGGCGACCAACCTGAGGATGCCCAAGTCGAAAGTTCTCATCAGGAACCAGGCCGCTTCAAGAGATACTATATAATTCCACAGAAACGAGATCGGAAGGGAGCAGTCACGGAGATTCTCAACTACAAGCTCCGAGGGTCAAATAGACAAAGTTCACAAGCAGCAGCTGAGTACTTTGTAATGTGTTTGTCATTATTTACGGTAGTTTACGGTAATTACAATTCTTAGAGTGAGTGGCATTACTTGTGAAATTTGTGCATGTGTTACATGTATCCACTCTACCATAACTTTGCTAAGTGTAAGACTGCCGGCGCTGGGATGTAAGGATGAAACAATGTGCTCGACCGAAGCACCTGTTACACTTTAGGTACTATGCGCGAAAGCAAGCGCCATGTGCGGCTTTCCACTGTTGAGAGCTCTGAGGAGGGCCCAGGCTGTGAAACTGAAGACGACTGCTTTGTGGGAAGGATGAAAGATGATGAATGATGAACACGACAAGATAACACGATGTACCGGAACGAACAGAGTACACCGAGCAGCTGATCACCCGGCAAAGTGAGGTGGTTGCATTCACAAGCCCACTTGAGCGATGATCAAACTGTGTGAAGCAATGGATTTAAAAGGTATCAAGTGCCTTCCTTACTAGTAGTAACAAGGTTCGCTACTAGGAACAAGTGCATCGCTTCTAGTAACAAGTGCCTTACTAGTAGTAACAATGTTTGCTATTAGTATCGTGTTTGTGTTTTTTCCGCGGGGGGTAGGCCGCTAGTAGCGAGGTAGCTAGTACCTACAAGAAAGCTACGAACTGGACGCAGGATAGCTGCTTCTTCAAGCGCTGGCACTAATGACTTGGTTTCTAGATGTTTAGGGAAACTTACTGTAATGTTCCGGTATCCTTTTCCAAGGAAAATCACACATCACATTACCCGTAGGAACAACAGCAACCTCCTGCTTCTTACAAGCTATCGTTTTAGGTATCGGTTTGGTACCGTGTTTTGCTTCTCTCCAGCAAATTATTTTTTGAAGTGCCATTCGGAACATTACTTGGCCATGTTCAAAGAGCGCAAACCTAGTCATCCTAGTCTCAGTCCATACGTATACTTCATGGCTTAGAAACAGCAGCAAGCAATTCATCGAGATACACATGCGTATCCACTGAAACAGGTGTCGTTGTTCATGTGCTGGTATTGTTTTCCATGGTTTGGAATTCTCTGAACATATTCCCCAAAAAAATATATATAACATTATATTCTCTACTGCTGAGGTGATCCCTTACCTTTTTCGACCATGCACTCGTTTTCGCAAGACTTCGCGGATTCGCTCCGCCAGGCTTCTCGAAGCCTGTCCCAGCGCTCGAATCGCCACAGGACGAGCGATCTCGAAGTGAGTCGAAGACGTTTCAGGGTGAACGATGGTTTTTCATTGTCGACAGAGATGGGTGAAACATATACGTTTCAGCATTTGTTTAGCTTGTAATGCTTTGCAATGAGTAAGAGTTCAGAGTAGTGTTACGAATTTCTTAGAGGCTTGCTCTTTACATCTCTTTACCAGACTTGCAAATAGTTTGACGTGTTGCGATGAAAGGCTGATGTGAAAGGAGTGCGTTGCGGAAACGACACAACCCAACCACGAAGCCATGCTTTAGGTACTGCGTGCGGAAGCAAGCGCCATGTACGGCTTGCTACTGCCGAGAGTTCTGAGGAGGGCCCAGGCTCTAATTTAAAACATCGTGAACCTCTGTACTGTAGCAGACTGCTCCTTTTTGAGAAAGATGAGTGATAGCCATTGCGCTAGCATGAGACTATGACAACATAGTTGTTTGTCAAATTCATTGCGCAAAAATGATTGAATGTGCATATCAATAAGAATAAAATTGTGTGTTCCTCACGTCTCTTCACCCACTTGTCACTACTTAGCTACAAGTTCTTCGCGCTGCACCGCAGGCGAGAAGCCTCAAAAAAAAGCGCAAGAAGACAGTTCTCCAGAAGAAGCAGGCCATGGCGGCCACTGTTCGAATGCCTTTTTCTCGCGGAAGCGGAGCAGAGGTCCCAGTGCTGAGGTCCGTTGTTTGAGTGCTATAAGTGCTATACTTGCAGCCTTTGATGTTAGGCAGTAAGTACTACTCGACTCGCCACTCAATAGCGCTGCCACGGCTTTTGCGACGACCACTGCTACGACCACCCACCATTGCTAGTACTATGACTACCCCGATTACAACTACCTCCTCCTTTCCATAGTCATAGTCTAAACATTCACCGCGGACCACGGCGCACCGATTCCGCCGTCTAGGTGAGCCGATTGATTCGCCCTTCCGCTCCGTGGCCACCGGTGTCAGCAGTTGGCGCCAGCTGAGCCTTGGCTCCTTGTCCTCACAAGGCGGAACCGAAGCGCCGGCGCCGAGTAGGACGCCGGGTCCGAAACTCAGAAGCAACGACAACCCTTTTGATGGGCTTGTTATTTGTTTGATGAGGGGTTGGGGGTCAATATTTGGTCGGAGATGATCAGAGCACGGCACTTGATGAGTTTGTTTGTTTTGTCTCGGCTTTGATCTGTTCCCATATGGGTAGCCATATTTTCCAAAAAAGGTCAATGCGTTCCCAAGCAGCGTTGCAAAGGCAGAGTGACAGGAAACAACAGTGTAGTGTCAGTGCCCTACTCACAGAAGAAAATCCTGCACCATATTGATCGGATTGTATCTTATACCCTCACTTTATCAGTAATTAATTTGCAAAGGTCCAACTGACCATCCGGCACCATCTGCCTGCATGACACAGCATCGAATAGGGTTGCAAGGCTGTTCATTGGTCAGGCGTACATGAGTCATGTCAGGCTGCCGTGGAGGATGTCTTTCGTCAAGCTTAGTGGTGTTGCTGACTTACCATGAAGCTGGAATGAAAGTTTTAGATCAATTAGATTGAGGTGCAGCGGTACCCAGCGGTGCTTTGGTCCGTTCAGTCTGGCAGGTTTGCCCACCATCTTGACGCACATCTCTGAGAGCAAGAAAGGTATGTGGGTGGATGAGGAGGAGGAGGAGCCTTTGCCTTCGCCCAAGGCAGAACCGGAGCTGCTTGGCGAATTCGATGTTGGAGCATCCTTTTGCTGCTCTTGCCAGCTGCGGACCTTTTTTGATGTCTGGTGAACATTTGATAACATTTGGCCTTATGGGTATTTTTATGAATGCAGTGAGCTCGCATGTAGTGTTGTTGTTTCTGTGTGAATGTCGTGTCCACAAAGGCAGATCCCACTGTCCAACATGGTTCAGCAGACGAACCAAACCACTGTTGATCGCTGGACTATAGTACTTGAGATGAGGCCAGCGCCAAGTCCGAACTGCGAGGCAGCATGGCAAGGCGTGACTGATGACGAGTTACGAGTTGAGTTGCTGGTTTACTTGTGACTTGCTCTTTTTGTTCGGAGAGTGATCTTCAGGTCGTTTTCGTAGGTGTTGAGCTCGTGAAAGAGATGCGAGCCCCTCAACTACAAGCTGCATCAATCATTGGAATACACTATCAGATATCATGCAGCAATGGTACGCCCAGGATGTACCGTTTGCACAGGCACTCTAAGGGGGCAGTAACTTCCCCATATCATATATTACAAAAGGGACTCTGGCATCTCAAGCTTTTGCACTGGTTTTGCCGATCGGATGATGGCGATGTTTTAATATTAGGCTTAGGACTTATTAGCACGAGTTCATTTTACAAAGGCCACTTGGTGATGAATGTTTGATGCTTCAACAAACCGCAAAACCTGGGCTACAAATATAAAATAATATAAACACCCTAATAATCCTAGTTCATGAGCGAGAGGCGGATGGTGCATCTTGGTACTAATGGTCTTGTTGCCCCGGAGTTTGGTTGATGAACATTAGATTCTGGGTTGCAGTATACTGATGCAAGGGTGTTTTTTGTTTGTGACCTTCTACTGAGTATATTGCCGAATGTAGCATTGAACTACGCTAACCCCAAATTAACCTAGTCCGAGCATTTGTTTGCCATTTGACCAGTCAGATTTGGAGTTCATAGTGTTTGTTTGTCTATTTGTTTATTTGCCTAGTTGATGTCATTAAGTTGCTTCATGATTCGCATGTAGTTCTTCAAAACTGCATTGAACATACTGTGTTTTCTTCTCGAGCCTTGTGCTCTTTTTACTGTTCATTAGAAGATGCCTATGGTTGGCAGAACAACAAAACACAAGGTACAAACAAAAGCTGCAGCCCCGTCAACATGCATGTTCTTACTTTGTTTCTACCCCCTTCCAGAAGAGTCTGCAGCTCCGCGGTTGTTATTTGACCCCCCCTCCAAAAAAAACAAGCCAGTACTGGTACTACAGATGTTACAGTTGTACTAGTGGAATGAGTCTAGTATAAAATAGTACAAGTGGGATGAGTAGTGCCACTGCTGCTGCTGCTGCTACTACTACTACCACCAGGGCGATTCCCAAACAAAAATCGGCTATAGTTATCATCGCCGGACCCAGGCTAACTCTGTGAATCTTGAAAATAGTATAAAAGCAAAACAATGCGAAACAAAAAGCAACTACAAAAAGCAACACCCAAAAAAAATGCAAATCCAAAAAGCAAAAAACAGCAAATGAAAACGCAAAAGCAATTAAACACAAAAAAACAAGCCACAAAAAAAGCAAATGAAAAAGCAAAAGCAAGAAAAACAAAACAAATCAACAAAAAACAAAAAAAACACAAATGAAGAAAGCACAAGCAAAAAATAAGCGAATCCCAAAAAACAGAAACAAGCAGATGAAAAAGCAAAAGCAAAAAAACAATTCCCAAAAGCGAAAGCAAATTTCAACATGTTCGTTGTGTTTTTTGTGGTTGCTTTGTTTTTTATGTTGTTTTCGCTTTGTTGCACGTTCCTTTTTCCGCTTTTGTTTTATCGCTCTTTGCTTGCCCGCATGTTTTTCGCAGTTTGTTTTGTCGTTTGTTCTTTTTTGTTATGTGTTTTTTTTCTGTTTCATTTGCTTAATTTGTTCACCTTTTTTGTTCACTTGTTTTTCACTGTTTGATTTTTCATTTGTTTTTTTTTGCTTTTTGGATTTATTATGTTTGCTTTTGCTTTTTCATTTGCTTTTTTTGTGCTTTTTGGGTTTGCTTTTGTTGCTTTTGCTTTTTGTAGTTGCTTTTTTTAGTTTCTCTCTGAAAAACCATCAGAGATAGCCTAAGTATGCCTAAGTGGTTGTCTTAAGGCTATAGCAGTCATGTAGGAAGTTGAAGTTGATTTAGCTGGGAAAGATTAGAGCAAAACCAAACCCAACTGCCGTCACCCGCTTTCATGTTCGGCTTGGAGTTCGGAATCTGTGGTGTAGTTCCACAAGCTCAAGCGCCTCGCCAGGCTCAATGTTCTGTGAAAAAACATAAAAGGTCACTTGAGGCCAAGGGCGGCGAAACTTTATTCCCACGAGTTTTTGTTTTTAAGAATTTTAAGAGAGGAATCCAGGAAGCCACTTTTGTCAAATGCATGTGGGAGTGATCTTCGTCAGCGTGTTTGTGTGCGTGCAGCCAGCCAGAATGCATGAACCCCGCCCCCTCCACCCCACCGATCTTGCAAAGCATTGGTGGATGCGGCATCATCTTCCAAGCACATCCAACACACTACCGCCGACGAGTGCAAAGTGCCCGAAACCTAGTGGCTTCTTGCTCCTAGTAGCGATGCCAGGAGCCTTGCTCCTGGAATCGCCATCACTCTTGGGTCTGGGACACAACATGCTGCGACGATCACCATGCGACGACCAGGTTGACAGTTGGATACATGCGATACTCAAGCGCGCAGGATTGCGCAGAGACATCTTCAAACTCAGGATGACGAGATTGGAAGGAGGTCCTGGAGTGGAATCATGAAGTTCAATAGGGAAGCAGAAGGAATCAGGTCGCTGGCCACCTACTCTTTGCCGTCTTTGGTGTCAGACACTAGACACGTGGAAGCTGCGGTTTTATAGTTTTTCACTGGAAAAGAGCAAAAATAGAACTTCATTTCCTACATGGGCTTGGCTGGTTCGATGTTGTGGGAACCAGACTGAGTGCTACTACTACTACTACTACTACTACTACTACTACTACTACAACCACAACTACCACTACCACTACCACCACAACTACCACTACCACTACCACTACCATTAATACTACTACTACTACTACTACTACTACTACTACTACTACTACTACTACTTCTACTTCTACTACTACTACTACTACTACTACTGCCACTACTACTGTCTAGCTGCCTATCTTCAGCAACCTCCACCACATCCTAGAAACGACAATTTGAGCCTCGCGTCTTTTTCCAGACCCCAAAAACAAAAAGGGTTGTTATCTCATGTTATCTCTACCCCTCCTAAAAACAAAGACTGCAGCCCCGTTGTTTTGTTTTTGCACCCCCCTCCAGAACAACATCCAAGCTACAAAAGGCGGAGCAAATGAGACTTGAGTGGAAACAACAATATATCCAGCTACTTACGAAACCTGCAGAGGTATCCCTAATTTTGTCCTCTTGAAGTTCCAAAGTTACAACATGTGACGACTATGTTGGGCAGGTGCTTTTGTTTCTACCACCACCAACAACAGCAAGAACAACCACCACCACCACCAACAACAACAACAACACGCACTTTGACAGGGTCGCGCTGCTTTCATGACAGATGACCTTAGGGCACCAGAAGCTTTGTGTCAGGCAAGTATTTGATCAATGAGAGGTAGTCAGTACACACAGTTTATTCCGAGTGTCACTCATTCACTATAGTAAAAACATACAAAAACAATTGCATTGTTTTGAAGTGGGGTTGCTACGCCGCTACGCGTTCTTGTATGGTGATCTTTGGATGTTACGCCATTGCTACTACGGTCGGGTGGACTTGGCTTTGGAATTTTGCAAAGACAGGCGGAGCTGGTGGACAGAGCGGACTTCCTGCACCGCTGGTGATCTCTATTCCGCCAGGTGCGGAGTGATGGAAGGCCAATCAAGGCATGTAGAGGCCTAGAGAATGGAGTTGTCACATGCGGACCACCGTTTTCGGCCGGATTCTTTTGTGAACAGGGTGCACGCAGCATGTTACAAGAGTTTTTCAATGAGTAGTACGTAGAACACAGGGATGAAATAGTTTCCTTATATAATTGTTGTAGTGGTTGGAGTTCTCGGTGGTATAGTATAGTCTAGGCAATTGTAAGTAGACATACCTTTTAAGCAGACCGCTCCGCTCCATGTGGATTTCAGAGGTCATGGTGATGCCAAGGACAAGGGCACCAAGGGCATGCTGTAGATTTCAGTGCCCATAAAATCTTACCGACATGCCTTGCCAGGATCATAAAGCCAAACACGGAACATGGAACCAAGACAACAGAAAACAATAGTGCAAGTGCAGAATTTGATCAAGAGGAGTTGAACCGTCTCTGACAGAATGAGTACCTCGGTCCAGAATGCACCTCGGATTTTTATCCAAAGAGTTGGTCAAGTAAGTTTGGCTCCTGACTGCTGTTGAACAATTGGTCGAATGAACAAATCGTGAATCAAGACAGAACCCTTGTCAAGGTATGTTGTTTGGCGGCTTGTAAGCCTTGGCATTTGACTATACTAAGAGAGGCGAGTGGAAAGTTTAAGTGATCGAGTCACAAGTGAAGAAGATTCATCGTGCAAGTTTGCAGGACAACGAACCGCCCAAGCTGGACGAGCGGGACTACCGCATGCTTTGGGAAGCTGTTGTGCAGGCAGGACGGTCATTTTTGCACAGGAAGACGAGTTTAACCCTTGAGCATGAAGATTTTCTGGGTTTCCTTGGCATTCCGGCAACTGTGCGCTCAGCTGCATTGTATGTTGTTCCCTCAAATTTGAGTATAATAGTAGTGTTTCTCCTCCATTTAGTGTGTATTTTGAGGGACAAAATCATCCAAGAGTCAGCCCTGAAACTCAGAGGACTTGTTGCACAGGGATGCACACCCATCCAATTATATAATTGTGCAGATTCCACGCAGATTTGTCAGGATTGCTCTGTCGGAGTACTTTGCACGGTTTTTGTTATGATGTCGGACCCTTTCCAAAAGTAAAAGTACCTTGAGAGTCAAAAGAAGTCTGAGATGCAGCTCTGAAAGATTGCCAAAGACTCAACACAAGACATCTATTGATTTGTCCATCAATCTGCTGATTTCACCATTGGAGGTATTCTAGTCCTTTCCCTGGAAATCTAGGAACCAAATCATTAGTGTAAGCTATCGTGCTGCCAGTTACTGGAAACAAACCTAAGCTACTAGCTAGATCTAGCTAGCTACCTCTTCCTTTATCCAAGGCCTACCCCCCCGGCCCAAAAAAACAACTATTTTAGATATACAGTATATATGAATACTAGTAGCGGGCCAAAAGAAATCGTTACTGAATCTTCTACCTCCATGGGGTCGTGGTGGAGAATGAGCTCTTCACTCTCGGACAGGGCCACGTGTCTGTGTTGCAGCAGTTCATGGCGCGAGGAGAGAGACTTGCGCTTTCCGTCAGACGCTGTCCGTGTTTTTGGCGGCAGGTCCATGAGGATCGTCTTCATTTCGGAATGAACCAGTACCAATTTGTTCCTACTCGTAGTAGCATCTTGCTCCTAGTCGCAAGGCCAGGAGCCCCTAGTCCTAGTAGTACGGACAGGAGCCCCTAGTAGCGTTCTTGCTCCTAGTAGCGATGCCAGGAGCCCCTAGTAGTTTCTTGTGTTTGTTTGTCCCAGATTGGGCAAGCTTGTGGGGTTTGGGATGGTTTTGGCTTTGCCAACATAGTGCATCAAACTTATCATTGTTCTGAATCTCTGAAAGGCTGCCCTAGTCCCTGGTGCATTTTTATGCGTACTATTTGATACTATGTAACAGCTAATCACCCACCCAAAGCACCTAAAGGATGAGTTGCTTTTGTGGATGTGGTTGCGATGCAGGGCTTCTCCAAAGTGGCTGCCTTTGCGACATGAATGGCCACAGCATCTTTTGGACGCTTGACCGTATCATGTCATTGAATGGTACTAAGATCATGCCCTTTGGATGCTACTTGGTCAATGAAACTTGCGGCAATAAGGCTGTAAGGTGTCATTCAGGTGTCAAAGTTCCCATACGAGCGCCTTAGGAATGCCTTGGCATACCAACAACAGCAGGTGGGTGCAACTTTTGACAGACACCGACAACAGAAGTTGGGAGTGCCGTATCGGCAACAGCATGCCGTAACATTCATCAAACGAATGCATTGATCGCAGCATGGAATGCACATGAATGCGCTTGGGCAAAGGAAACCGTTTGAATCCACTGAAAGCAACATCCATGTCGGAGGGGTATCTCCGTTCGGAGATGCGACTCGTTTGGACACAGAGGTGGCCATGTTCTTGCTGCAGCACTTTCCACCAGGACAGCCATTTTGCCAGATGTTTCATAGTGTTTCATGTCATTTGGCAATGTCCCCAGTTGCTTCCACGCTTGAAACAGTCATGGGTCAAGCCAGAAGCCATCAGAAGCCCAAATGCTTGGGGCTCTCAGGAACTCCCGAGGGCATTGACCTGATGGAGGCCCCACTGATCGACACCACAAATCGCCGGACACCTTTTTGACCGGTGGCCACATTATGATCATTATGAAGTATTGTAATTTTAACATATTGTAACTTTGTAAGTGTTTGTTTGTGTCCCCGTGACAAACCAGGAAAGTAAGTGCAGTAGGCCCCACATTCACCTGGCCACACCCTCAACTCGGACGCCGTATTTATACTCCAGAAGGATTATTGATTTTTCTTAGCAGGTGTTACAGCATCTCTGATCATTCATATACACTATGTTTGCATCAGCCGCAGTTGAATTGGCAAGTCCATTTGCGGCCAGTTTTGTTCCTTTTCGATGTATGTATATATATATATATATGCAATATCAACAACACTGAATCAGCTTTGGAGGGAGCAAATTCCACCGAGTGAGGCGACATAAGTCTTGCAGCATTCGAAGGAGAAACACTTTTGTCCTGGTGATGTTTTTGGTCCATTTAAGATCTTGGTCAGTTGACCAGCTGACCATCTTTGGATTTGCTGAAGTGACCCAAAAAGCTTAAAAGAAAAAGCTAAAGCAGAGACTTGAATCCAACCCAGAGTGGACACTCAGTGCGGCTAGGTGGGCACTCATCGGCCCGCTGTTTAAGTACATGCTAGCAGGTGGTAGACCGCAACATATTTGAATGCAGGGAGATTGGTCGACCCTCCTCAACCATTGCCATTATTTGTGAGGTTGCAGATTCATGCAGATTCCGTCATGCGAAAGCTCCAACAACTCGAATCATCTCGAATCTATGTTGAGGGAAGGGTATCAACTTTGCTATGTTGGCGCTCGAAACGGAATTGTAGTTTAGCTGCTTTAGCTCCACGCACACAAAAGTGCATGCTTCAGCTTCAGCCCAGATCCATGCTCGGCGCAAAGATACACTGCTCCACCTTTGTCGGCGACTTAGCACACGTGTCACATCATTGCCTTAAAGACACATAGCATGATGCAGAGACTTAGCAGTGTCCAGAACTGCTGAATGGTGGCTGTGACTGCTGGCCAAGTGGAGAAACAAATGAACAAAGCTGCAAATACAGCAACCACGCTCCACTGAGGTGTGTACTTCGAGGACTTCTCAGTCAGCCATGGCTTGTTACGTGCCCTTTTTTCTTGCACGTGAAGAAAGATTCCAGCCAGGGACCTGCTGCTGAGCTTTTCAAGTCACTTTTCTTAGGCACATCACGGCACATCCGTCGTTGTTTTGTGAGGGTGTGTGTCAAACAAGCTACTAGTAACCAGTAACAAAGAGCATCACTACTAGTAGCAAGAAGCTACTAGTAGCTCCGGGCATTACTACTAGGAACAAGAAGCTACTTGTCAAACCCAATCCTGACATATGTGTTTTCTTGTTGGATTGATGTCGTGATCAATGTTGGGTCAAAGACGGAGTCAAGCACGGAAGAAGGGCAGCGGTATCACTCTTTGGACCATGTCCTATTGGTACCCCAGAGCAACAAAGCTGGATGTTTGCTAAGTGAGATTTCTCAGTGGACTTGTGATAGGCACAATAAGTCTTTAGTTTGGGTGTTTTGCTTTGCAAGTGTTCGACATTTTTGAGGCAGAAATTGGGCCAAGATGGCCAAGCCTTGAATTGTCACTTACATGGCATGGCTCAATTTGGAGTTGAGACATGTTGGTGACATCAGTGATTCTTCCAAACTAGGGGGGGGCAGGGCAGCGACACAAAGACAGAACAAGACATTTTAGGTGGCGACGCGTGATTTGCAGGATGGGTATGGACCTGATTGAAGTAATGCCAGATTCCTCCTTTTCCTGACCACGACCAGCAGACACAATTAGCAGTCAGAACCACGGCAAGACTGGAGGCATGGGTCAAATGCATGCAAATCCATTGCAGGTGGGCGGTGGGGGACAGCTGTGTTGACAGTTCTTTGTGCTTTTGCTAAAATTTATAGTCTATTTAGTGTCCTAAGCTGGACAAGTTTTGACCATGCTGCTGGTTGTGGGTTGGTTTGATGCAAGCCTAATGCCAAATGAGGTTCGAACATCCATAGATATCCATAGATTTGGGCTTCAGATGGCTTCAGGATGCTTCAGGAGTCTTTGCAACAAATGAAATGTACAAGTCGTTGTTGACTTTACGTTTTGCAGTTGTTTGGTTTCTAGAGGACCCTTTCCAAAAAAAGATCAGTAGTTTTGAACCTTGAACTGCTTCTTGGAACTACATGTGGGTACTGCGATATGTTGAGATAGACTCCACACAGATTCCCTGGTCAGCAGCTGCCAGATTTGTGGTATGTAATATGAAGAGTTTCATTCTTCCTGGTTTATGTGTTTGATGCCAGTTGTGGTTTTTCAAGTTTTTGTTCATTCGTTTTCACTAGTGTATTTTTTAATTCGGGTCTATCAAGGGTTCGGCGTTTGATTCATGGCTACAATAGACCTTGGGCCCTGGTGGTCTTGTACATGTAGCAGAGGCTTGGAGCAGAGCCAATGCTGACTCGGAGACCTTCTTGCATTGTGCAGCAGTCAGGTCGCTTACAAATCAGAGACGTGGACCAACCAGACGTGGGCCATTTCGCTCTGACTCGAAAGGATTCGCTCTTTCCTAGCCTAAGTGTCTACACCTTTAAGTACACCTTTAAGGCTTTGCCAAAGGTCTTTGGCATTGGTCGCCAGGAGTTCTTGGGGTGTCGAAATCTGAAAATTTGGGACTAAGGCCAGAAGAAACTTCTGGGTGATGCGCTTTGTTGCGCCTTTGCCTTGGTGAGACGCCTTTGCAAAACTTCAGTACCGATGCTAATGAAACGAATTGCTTTCCTTGGTTGCAAGAACGATAGCTGCAGATTGCTGATGCCACTAGTCTTTTCCGGTCATGCACAGGTCGCATGCTTGGGAGTTGCTTTTTCAGCAAAGCGTGAGAGCCAATGCTATCCAGGCAGGCCTTTAGCGGGATCATGGGATCATGTTGTGACTAAAAGGCAAGGATGCATTTTGGAGCGAAGCCCAGGCCCACTTGCGACTGAGATATTTGAGCAGATGCTTTCAGATTGTTCATGTTGACTCGATTCTTAATGCACCTTTTGACTTGCCCAGCGGTATGCAACATGTTTTCACCAAACATGCGAGGTCTTGCTTGAGAAGCTGGAAGAGGCAGATGATAATCAACATGCTGGAGACTGCCTTTTTGGACATGACATGGTGCCTTTGGGGTCCCCACCAAAGTGTGAATCGTCTAGGGATTTCTGTGATTTGAACATTTGGTAGAATAATGTATATACATAAAATCTATGAAGTGAAAGATACCAGGACGTGTTGGGGGGTTGCTTGTTTGAGAGGATGGTGCATGCTTGTAAAGGGCTGGGATGCGCAGTTTCCACGCAAGAAAGTCATTGACTTTGAAGGGCACCCGATCAAATGTTGAGTACCGTGTATACTCCGTGCACCAATCAATGCTTGATACCACCAGAGAAAACATAGAATACCGGGTTACATGGCTTTACAATCATCCATATTTGTCCTTCACTGACGTTGGCAGATGAGTAGGTGCGAAACATAAAGGATGTGATTCCACTATGGTGCCATTTGAAGCAGGAGTGGGTCAAAGCTGACCCGAGGCCCTAGGCGAGACTTCCGAAAATTCAAGGAATTATAGTAGGTCTCCGTGTCCTCCGGAAGATCCCAAGACAGTCGAGGATTCGAGCACTTGTAGTCGACAAGATGCTCGCGTAGTGTTCCTGTTCGTCCAGATCGTCCAGTGAAAAATACACCTGAACATCCTGAACTCCATCAAGAGTTCATTTCGGGATATTTCGGGGGTGAATGGGGTTTACGGATGATCCCACAGCCAAGCAATCAATCGAGAAGATCAGCGAAGATCAGCATCAGCTTGGCAACAACCTTTAGCCGGACCAGGTTGGAGTGGTTCGTCCAGCGGCCGCTGCTCCTGATGTTGAGGCAACTCCTTTCATTCAAGTTCTTGACTCATTCCCCATTCTTATTGGGGTTTTAGCAGTCAAATTTGCATCGTATGTCAAGCAATTCACATGTTCAAGGTTCTTGCTCCAGCCAAATTGACTATATAGTCCAACAGAGTCCAAACGCCACCAGATGTACTCGTACCTATATGTGGGAATTGGATGCCAACTGCATAGGATCAAGAAGCTACTAGGGGCTCCTGGCATCGTTACTAGGAGCAAGGACGCTACTAGGGCCTCCTGGCATCGCTACTAGGAGCAAGGACGCTACTAGTAATGTACGAACAAAGCCTCAAAACATCTGAAAACACGAGGTACCGCAAACATGGATGAACTTTGCGCAGCCGATCGCTTAGACTTGAAATGGCATTTGTTTGGTTCATCCTTATGAGAAGCAACCATTATTTGAGTCTTGGGGGTGTTGTGGTGACACTTGTTTCCATATTTTGAAGGCACTTCTTTGTTGTGCTTTGTTGGAGCATATTGATGGTTTCCACAAGCATTTTTATGTTTGTTTGTTGTGTTACCTTACAGTAGGTATTTCATTCTATGATGGCTTCGAAGCTGTCAACTTTGGACCTGAAGAACACAGATTGCCGGGCCCTGCCTTACCATACATAGAAAACGGCTTCGTACAAAGATAAGAAGTGCAACTCCAAGGTATTTGCCGCATCGCGCAGAAAGAGGATCGGCCTTTGCAGATGTCGAGCTCGAGGTAGGAATGGCAGAGTGATCCCCTATTGAACTTGTGAGACCAGCTGATAGTGTCATTGCATGTCATTGCTATGCATATCGTTCCTTTTTTGTCAGTTTTCCAGGCAATACCCCGGCAACAGCAACCGGGGTAGAAGAAGTTGCCGGCAAATTTCACTTGTGTATCTCACGTATCAACACAAGATTGACTGAATATACTGAATTCAAGACAGCAATTGTGACGATGCCGATGGGAATGATGCTGCTGATGATGATGTCGTTGATGAGGATTGTATGGTTATATAATATATATACGCCAGTACAATATGTGGAGGCCGGGCCCAGGGCACCCCCCTCCAGAGGTAGTGTATAATACCTATTCTATCCGCATGTTTAAGGTCCGCATATGGCGTTTCTAGCGGGAATACAGAGTCAAAGCCACGCCCCAAGCATGCCACGAGTGCTGGTCAATTGATTCATTTGAGTCGACGTTTTCTAAGGGTAGGGAATCGGAACCGAATCGGTGGCCACCCTGCCCGGCACGGTGGCAAACCTTTGCAGCGGCTGGCAGCTCCGGAGGCCTTGTGCAGTAGGTCCATCCACGTAGGCCTGGCTGAGAGCCTCCACGTAGGCCCTCTTAGATCTATAGGCCCCCTCCCACGTAGCCTCCTGACCACATAGGCCTTTCCACATTGGCCCTTCCACATAGGCCGCCTTCTCTGTCTGGACATGAGCACTTTCTCCTATCACTAAGGCACCAAAGCCTCAGAGACTTGCAATAAGCCCATCAAATTGAGTTCATCAACCCTGATCGGGGCCAATTCATATGTAGCTGAACGCTTGCTTTGTGCGCCATGGTTAGCTGGAGCATGTGGACGGCCAGGCCACGCTGTCCGTGTGGTTTGCCGAAATCCTTGGTAGTTAGAGGTGGCTGCGCTGTGGGCCCTACTGCAATCCTGCCAATGGGCCTTCCTAGGCCCATCCACATAGGCCGCACGCCCTTCGCGTGGAGCCTAGGTAGGCCCTTAGCCTTTGTGGGCCCATGGCCTCTTGGGTTCGTCTGTTGGAGAGTTGGCCGTGGCAAGTCTGGTGGGCCGCCCCGTGGAGAGTTGGCCGTGGACTATTTGGTTGCGTTGCAAAATAAAAGTGCTTATGTGGAGGGCTGCCTGGGCAGTGTCCGAGAGCACGTGGGCAAGTCTAGGACAGATCGCAAAAAAACTCTTAGGGGAGTTGGCCTGTGGATCATTGGGGTGGACGGCACAGAAAAAGTCCATCCAGGGCTGGCCTGAAAAGCCTTACCCGAGCACTGGTCTTTGGGGCACAGGGTTGAAAGAAAACTCCTTGGGGTTGGGCCGGGTTGCTTCGTAGGTCTGGGATGGATCGCAAAGAAAAATCCCTATGTGGAGAAAATGCTTGTTGGGTGTGGATTGCAACAACAACCCTAAGTGGAGGGTTGGGTTGTGGCATTCCACTGCATGAAACATCATGCAGCGTCTTCAATTGGCCGGCCTGGCGCCTGGCTGTCTTTACCCTTGCAGGCTGCTTGCTGGGTTTGCTGGCCCCTCCGCAGCCGCGTGTTCATCTCCGGATGTCTCTTTGGCTGGGCGGGCCAGGCAAATCCCTCACGGAGGTGCTCTAAACTTAGGTGTTGGCTTGTTTTTAAACCGGCATATGTTTTGGTCATTACTATGAATGCGAACATGATGTAGGGGATGATGATGGATGATGTAATCGTGATGACGTCCAATTTGGGACGATGGAAGACGATAGCGATGGGTTCCAACCTAAGAGCGGCCAGGTGCAGGAGTCGTCGACTTGCTATCGGAGCATCGCTGCGCATCGCTGCGTGCTCGGAGCTGCCTCAGGCGATCCGCTCGGGCGGTCGGTGGATGTCGGGTACAGTACATCGGTTGATGTTGGTGGGGTTGGGGCCGTTTCATTGAATGACCGGAATGACTCAGTTTCGGAGCAACTTGATGCAGCACTATGCAGCATGTGCTTGAGATTTTTTGAGTATTTGGGCCAGTGGCATTTTGTAGAGTGCAACATTGGTGCGCAGGTATGTTCCAGGATTTGATATTTTAGGTGCCAGATGGTGCCAGACACATTCATGTTATTGTTACGAGTCTACTAGTACGGGACCCGGGACAATTCCCAACACCAAAGCACCTGTGAGACTTTGCGCGTTTACCTGAGTTGTCAGCACTCAACGGACAATTGCAAAGTGCTTTGGCTCAGAGGCATGGCAGGAGGACTCAGAACCCACGCCAAGAAGACCCCCATGTCAACCAGATTGAACCCAGCTTTGATGAACAAAACCACATGCAATAAGATGGAGGCATATAGGGAGAGTCTTGTGAAATGATTTGCCCATTTCTACCTACATGTCCAGAATGTTGTAGAGCCTCAAAAGAGGGAAAAATGGAAACGACGAGGACAGCACAATGGAACAGCGACGGTTTGAACGACTCAATGCCTCGAGGATTGCACAAACCAAAACCCTTGCACCCTGTAGCCCATGTGTGCTCGCATGCGGCGCGAAGCTGGAGGCCTTGAAGTTTCTTAGTCTTTGCAGGCAGTGGTAACTGGAAGAAGCAGAAAACAAATTGAAACTCATCGTGCAACCCAGCTGCAGAATGTGTCCCGTGAAAAAAATGCACAAGTAGAAACAAAAGGCATCAAAAAGAAGACAGAAGAAAACATTGTTCAGGACACAGGCAATACTTGTAATATATATGCAAATATATTGCCTCACAGCATCTTGCTGCTCACTGACACGCTGTCAAAACACTCTGTCTTTTGATACCCTTTTAGGTTGGAGGCCATCGCTATTAAGTTGGATGCCGTTGATATTAGGTTGGAGGCCATTGCTGCTAGGGTGGAGGCTATCACGTTTGGGTAGGCCATCGCTATTAGGTTGGAGGCCATTGCTACTGGGGTGGAGGCCATTGCTATTAGGTTGGACGCCATTGCTGCTGGGGTGGAGGCCATTGCTATTAGGTTGGAGGCAATTGCTACTAGGGTGGAGGCCATTGCTATTAGGTTGGAGGCCATTACTAGGGTGGATTCCATTGCTATTGGGTTGCAGGCCATTGCTATTAGGTTGGAGGCCATCACTACTAGGGTGGAGGCCATTGCTACATATTGCTACTATGGTGCCGACTGTGCCGACAAAGGCCATGGGTGTTGCCCCCTGTGCTGGCGAGCACGTGCCCGCTGCTGAGAATTGAAGTGAAATCACGCTGACCTACCAAGCCTTAGGACAGTGAGACAGGTCTATTGTGACCAAACAGTCGTGTCTCACTGCATCTTTTGGCACAGTGACACACTCATGGAGGATTGAGAGAGAGGACTGTCTCACGGACTCACATTTGCTTTCAAAGCTGTTGCCGTTTGACAGAAAACTGAGTTGATTTATGTTGATTTATGGTTTTGTTCCTAGGACCTAGGATTTGCAGTACGGTTCGAAGGACGGAGTTCCAAATGGCCAAGGAAAAAAACAAACAAATCCAGACGTTCAATATCACTCTCTTGCGGACGAGTCAGGCGCCGCAACTGTGGACACAGCTTAGCGATGTCGCACAGCAAGTAAGGCCTCTACATGCCTCCATCAGGGCCATGAACGAGCGAGGTCGCGAGAAAATCTCAAAGGGGATCTTCGACAAAAGGCCAGCATGGACAAGTGCACCTTGTCCGCCACCAACACCGGCCATGGCACTATACAACCCGGTAAGGCCATCACGATCCCACTGGAAGGTCTGGAGACCCGAATCTTCTCAAACGAACAATCAACCGCTTGCAAAACAGCATCAAACCAAAGCCTAAAAACAGAAACTTGGGCAGCAAGAGTCCTACCAAAAAGATCTCCAGCCTCAAGACCTGCAACATCCATCCAGTGTTGAGAAGTACTATCAACACAAATGGGCAACGAAACCTTGGTGAAAACAGAGAAACCAAGAAAAATCTCAACAAAGGACACCGGAGTAAGATACTCTGCTTGCAGGCTTAAGGAAACCAACCAAGATTGAAGCGCCTCAGCAAATTGAATGCCAAAGCGCTGCAAAAACAAATTCTTCTGCAAAGCCGACCGGACGTCAAGTGGCTGATCCTCCACAAAGTCCTGGTCATTGACCAAAAAGGAACTAAAAACGAAACTGTCTGTACACGGCTCAGGTTGCGCGCTCAGTTCAGCAGCTAGGCCATGCTCTGCTAGGTCCAGCAAGAACAACTGGTACTGCCGACTCAGGCGACAGTGCTCCACATGCATCTCCATCATAGCATCATAAGCTTTCCGCAATGAGCTCGGTAGTGCAGTCAAACGTGCAGCAGCCGCAGCCAGATCGACCACCGAGTTGTGATGGATACACCAGGCTGCAAATGACGAATCGGCATGCTCTATGTTCAAGTGCGAACAAACCTTAGTCACTTGAAGCCAAGGCACCTGGGGCAAACATTGGACAATACGTTCCCAGAGATCTGCATGAGCCCAACTCCAAGAAACCATATGTCCAGCAAGAAGGCGCTCAAGTCTGCTGACTACAAATGCAGAATCGCAATAAAGATGAATTGGCACCACATGAAACGCAGCCCAAAGAAGCGATTGCAGCACTGCATAAAGCTCAGCCCTTGCTATGCCCTGCCAGCGCCCAGGTAAAAGACCACTTGCAACAATCTGAGTACTGTTAGCAAGCTCAAAAGCCCATGATGAAAGCTGACCAATAGGATGAGTGGGCAGCTGACATGACCCATCCGTGAAGATATGTTGGACATCTCTCCCAACCGGTTCACAGTGCCAAGACACAGGGACATCAATCAGACGCTCAAGCGCATCATGAAATCGTGGAATCCATTCATTCGCAGGAGTCCAACCATGATGAGATAAGGCGACAGGCACATCTGACCACATAGTCCAGCAGTCAACATGGCGCTCCCTGACAGACTGGAAATACGAGCACTCACAGGCCCGATGCTCCATGGTGTCTAGCGACTGCAAACAAAATGGGCAGAGCTCTGAGAAGCCTGGGTCAAATCTGGCCTTGAAGCTGTGAAGGAAGAAAGTGCCATCCCGAATGGTGGATAGAAGCTCACGCTGGGACACCGAAAGATTCTCAATGCTCTGGAAGGTAGCACTGTAGTCCAGACTGGAGAGTCCTGCAAAATCATGTCGGTGAAAAACACCTCGAGCCACAGACTGCCGCCAATCCTCAAGAAAAAGTGCCAAGAGGTGGGATAGTGGCAACCACACAAGATCATAGCACTTGCCGGCAGAAGTGTGAAGCTCCAGATCCGATGCAATAGACCAGTTAAGAATACCACAAATACGCAGCAGCTTTCCAAAAGGACCATGTGTTGCTTTACCTCGGTAATGCTGCACATAGTCTCTCCATGCTGAGCGAAAAGAGGCATCTGAAGTGCAGTATCTACCAAAAGTCACAATGCATCGTCGAAAATCATAGTACATGGGATCAGTAAGAGGATTCTCCACCAAAGAAAGCCTGACAGCAGGATTGGCACCAGCTCGCTGTGTACCTAAGCTGCGCATGGCTTGTGTCCGAAGCTGCTTGTACCATTGACAGCCAAGGAATGTCTGTTCAGCCCCATGAAGCGATCTAGGAAGCAAAGCAGTCCTAAGAAGCTGAGCTTTCAAACACCGTGGCAACTGCATCCGAGCAAGACGCTTCCAGTGCACAAGCGAATCAACAATTCTCTTTTGCAACTGACTGTTCCGATGACGAGCTCCATATTGCATTTGCACCCCAAGATCCTTAGCAGATTCAACGGCAGCAAAGCCTTGAGCACACAAGAGATGCCGTAATGAAGCAGTTGTCCCCCAATATGTACTCTTTGCAGAATCAATCTGAAGTTGCAACATATCAGCCCAGGTTTCAGCAACCAACTGACCCTGAATGAGAGAACCAACAGATTGAGACACCAGCTGCAGATTGTCGACGTATGAAAGCTCACGAATGCCCGGGGCAAACTTGCTCATGTAAGCATGGAACACAAAGTTGAGCAGGACCATGCCTACGCAGCTCACGCTGTCACCTTCCGGTAGGCCTGTGTCACTACCCACCGGATCAGAAAGGGCCTCTCGCACCCGAAAAGAGCGGCGCATACTCGTCAGAAATGAGCTCCAGGCTACAATAGTTGTGGGCGCAATTCCGTAGAGCCTAGCCAGGAATCGAACTGGTAGACGTGGTATGCAATTGAAGCACTGACGGATATCCAAGAGCACCCCAACATAGTGCTCCTCAAGGAGCTGCTGACACCTGAGGAGGCCTTTTGCCTACCATAGGTTGGAGTTGCTGGGCTCTTCCTTTGCAGCGGGCCGGAACCCTCGAAAGATCACGCAAGAATGCAGGCTGAAGACTATCTTCAACAGAAGCAGACCAAACCCGCAAAGAAGTAGTGGTGTCTGATGTCCAGGAAAAAGGCCTGTGACGAGCACCCACCGATTCATGCCATGCAGAAATACTGACATGCTCCCAAGGCATAGGTGTAGGGAAGCGCCACATCTTGGGAAGTTCAGGCACCATAGGGATGGCAAAGATGCCTCCAAGACAAGCATGATCTGGATAGTAGTGGTCCACATAGTGCACCGACTGTAGGACTTGCCAAAGTTCAGGCGATAGCCAAAGATAATCTCGAACAGTCACAGACTTGCAAGTAGGACGAATGGGCTGTAGCCAGGTCTCCCAAGCATAAACCTGAACTTCCCTCCATCCATGTGAAAGCAAATAATCCGAGACAGCAAAGTCAGACAAGTCGGCATTCCAATCACCGCCAAGATAGCGAGGTCCAGTCAAACGTTCAACAAGATGTTCAGCCACTTGATCGAGTATGGCTGCTGTAGATCGCAATGGAT